ACTATGTGAAGCACATTTCATTATACCTACACAACCGTAAACAATATAAATCGGTGTTAGATAAAAAAAAGTCGCCACGTCATGTTGTTTCTATTTTAATCTTGTTTTTTTACACTTGTTTCTAAGCGGCCATTGTAAAGGCCATTTCCATTATAAATTTTGAATATAGGCAAAGTCAGAACAAACGTTTATGCACATTACCCATTTTTTACTAATCAAACATGGCACTATGTGTCAACTTTTTCATTTTGATAAACTGTTGATAATTCTGGCTTGAAAACTTCAATTAGTAATTGGTTTGGCTCTTTTGAGCAGAGAAATGCAAACGAAAAGAAAATAACAGGAATATGCCACCAAATATTGAGAAACAACATTAATGAAATAAATAACCTTGAACTGGGTCCCATCATTCGCCATTGCCTCTGAATATATGGATTAGGTGTGGTTGTTGCTAAAAATCTTTGCAAAAAATCAAGTATCATTGAAATAACATATTACATTACATATTGAGTATACACTAACAGAACTGACCAAAACTCATAAAAAAAACGTGTGTCATAATATAATTAATATATGATGTCACGGTATGTTACTTGATTAACTTACGTCTTATGTCCTACCTACACAGTGACACGGATAAAAATATGGTGATAACTGCTGAAAAGTTGTTCTGTTAATATTATTATATGAAAATCGAAACGATTACAACCAGTACACTATACTCTCTATCGAAGAACTCGTTGTTCTCAAATTACACACAGGTGACAATTTTGACCTAGCCCATTATATTCTCATCTCACACTCGAATGAGATCAAGGTTAATTATATAGTTTATAGTAGAGACCAAAGAAATGACGAATCCTGTTCAAGTAGGTCACACACGAATACTATAACAATGAATACATACATTGAAATCTTGGATATAAGATAACACACATATTTTGTAACAACGTTTGTTAGTGGAGTATATAACAAAGCGACATTGTTTACATTTCCACAGCTGTTTCACAAAAGGAACAGTGTGACATGAATTTGTGTGCACTCGTTTTCAAATTGAAAGTTGCGAAATACAACAATTCAAATGTCTAAGATTTCCATGTGTTTCAAAAATATATTGCTGGCACACAATTCATGCCCTACCGCTTTACCTCCTAACTGTGACAATTTTACAGTTTTACACTGTCACATAATCAGTCAAGCAAACATTGACATATACACATGTTATTACAACTGTGTGCAAATGCCACGATTAAGACATACCATTCCAACATTGTGAAAATTGTTCGCCCTTGAGAAAAATACAACAAAAATGAGTTTGAAAGTGTATTCAGAAATATATCAAGAATATATAATACTTAATATAATAATGTTAGCATTAATAACAAAACATAATATTTTATATCCTTGATACTTTTTCACTTTATTTGTTTTTCATTATGACTGAACAATGTTCAACAACGTAACAAAATAACAATGTCTAAAACAATATTTTTATCGTAGTGTTGTGCAATGCGATGCTTTGATTTCTTTAGGCTTAAATATTCCAACTTTTTGTCTCTTCCTGATACAATAAGCAACGATACTAAGAACTGAAATGAACGAACACGGAAAAATATTTAAATTAAAACATAATAACTTTATTATTGTGTTCCTCGTGCATTGCCGAACATATTATCCTAAATTATACGTACCTACTGCCACAATTACTATTGTCATAACAACGGAACAGCTGACTGCTATAATTACCACCACGTTTACAGCTTCTACAGCGCTATCAGATTCCTGTTTTAAACCACAAAAATGGTTATGTCTAATATGAAAGATGAGTGGGTCAATAAAGCTATGATTAACAGTTCTAGAATATACCTACGTTTAGATCAACTACGTCGATTGTTGTGTAAGATGTTGTAACACCATCTACTAATAACGACAAGTTACCTGGAAAAAGTAGACAGAAAGTTACATCGAGAAAGGATAAAAGATGCAGAAATAACACAGCTGTACAATGTTCTCCGTCCTTGCAGAATACGTCGGTTAATGTATTTATATAAACACATCCTTACATTCACCAAGGTCAACTGCATTTTCTTCATAAGTGGTATATCCATCAGGACAAGGCAGACAAGTCGCACTTCCAATGTCAGGCTGATAGCTTCCAGCTGGGCATGGAAAACACTTAAATAGGTCACCAATTGATTGTTGATAAAAGCCAGAGTCACAGTCAACTACAAAATGAACAAATATTGAAGAAAATATACATGTAGGTTCCTTGAGTGTAATTCTATATATTCTTTCAACATTTTTCAAATAGAAATACAAGTGGCCAGCACATAGGCAGTACACACAATTCAGGTCTGTAGTAAAGCGATGTTCAATTGGAAGAAGGAAGCAGTCCATAAAGCTTATCAATATGTAAGGTATCTTAAGGTACATACTTACTACAATCAAATTT